GTTTTAGCATATTTGTTTTACACATGGTTTCAACTAAGCAGTTTATATTATTATTATTATTATTAGTATTTGAACAGTTTATGATGAAATAGTAGCAGGCATTAGGTTGAGGGTTTTGGCGGTGGGGGTACTCTCCCAGTGATACCTGACACCCAGTGGGTGTGGTTTAGGAGACATTCAGCTATACGTCCACTCTCCCTCACCCTGTGCATAGGCTAAGTTTTCCTCTTTCCCTATCTCATACAGTGTTCTCTTGGATTTGAAATATGTTGTTTTTCAGGATGAGGGATCTTCAAGCCATTGACAGCTTGCTCTTGAAAGAGTTGAAGTCATGTTGTGCAAAAGAGTACAACTTTCTTCCCAGAGAGACCGGCCTGAAGCTGATGGAGTCGGCCTCCACGGAGGTAACCTACTGACCTCATGTTACATTGTTGGCTCTCTGTGTAGACATACGGGTTCGCTTAAAATAGATGTTATTTCCAGTGATGTCTTTGTAACATTTAGTGGTGTATTTTCAGAATCACAGCGGAGTGTCTGCAAAATGCAGAGACACCAGAGTGGAGGAACTGTGGGGCCTGAACAGTTTCTTTGGCTACAGCACCCAAACTTTTGTTCAAGCTGTCAATTTGCTCGACAGATTCCTCGCCATTATGAAGGTAGGAATTTGACAAAGCAAGTGTAATGTGTGGTTTCAAGTTACGACATGAATCTGAACATTTTATTAAGCCCAGTCTACAACTATACATAGTTAAAGAAGCATTTCACCCGTGGAAAATCTTTATTGAAAGTGGGTTATATATGTTGTCGAAATGTAACATAAATTTTGAATTTGGTGCCTATTTGACCGAGAAAGGTGTTTGTATGTCTCAAATAATCAAGATTATGAGACTTCTGCTTCCAGATGAAGCAAATGCGCATTTTTACATCATGGAAGCAAGGAAGTGCAACACTGAATCCGTATTTCTCCCCCAGTCTCGGGGAATGAAGGGAGATGGTGCCAGACCAATCAATATGACATGGGTTTCATAACGATACAAAGCTTAAGGCAAATGGGTGAAGTGTCCCTTTAAAGGTGGGGTCAGTCATTCTGAAGAGAGATACTTGATGAGTCTTATTCCCAGGTCGTCAAATACAGACTCTTCGGCAGCCCAAAGCGTCGCTCTCTGACAACCTGTGAATGAGACACAACAGTCTTATGATTGACCCCACCTTTTAATATCACCAGTCAGACGAAAGCACGACCACAGTGACCTTGTTTGACCTTGGATCATGGGATATTGACTCACACTTATGTGTATGGTGTCACTGTGATAGGTGCAGCCCAAACATTTGCCCTGTATTGGAGTGTGCTGTCTTCACATTGCTGCCAAAATGGTTGAGGAAGAGAGCAATGTCTCACCCACCCATGAACTAATTCGCATCAGCCAAAGCAAGTTCACTGTGTCGGACCTCTGTCGCATGGAGAAGATCGTCTCAGAGAAGCTCGGTGTGGAGCCTGAAGCAGTGACAGCCTTAACCTTTCTACACCTCTACTACACAGCCTTCACATCCCTCTCTGCGGGAAGGTACACATTTCATTTTCTTTTGCTTATGTTTTATTATTGTTACTGGTGCATTGCTCCAGTTTGCATGGAGTTGGTCAATAGATTCTGCTTTATGAGGTTTGTACTGGCGGATCACATTAGGATTCCCTCTATATTTTAAGGGAGGAGATCCCAAGCATTGGGAGACTGGAAGCCCAGCTAAAAGCCTGCTTTTGCCGGCTTGTTTTCTCTAAAGCAAAAGTAAGGATTGTACTCAGGCGACAATTTCACAGTATAGCAGCATTCACTATGACTCCCAGGAGTACTAACCTGCTGTTTGTCTCCTTCACAGCCATCAGTGCTGGCACTGTCCCTCATTGCTCAGGAGTTTGACGCTCTCCAGTCCACCACCATGTTGAAGATTGTCCAGCAATTCCAAAGACATGTTAAGGTATAAAAAGGACAACTGCTGCAACAACTGATTCTCAATGAATCAGTATTGTTTGCTCCATAAAATGTCTGCTTACAGTTAAAAAAATGAGACCGCACATTAATGTCTTGTCTGACCAATGGTGCAAAATTTAAAGGTTATACAGTTTACTGTCTTAGAAGACTAAAAAGTGAGGAGACATTTTTGTTAATTTTGCAACAAACAATGAATTGATTTTAGCCAATAAATGTTTAATCGACTAATCGTTGCAGCTCTGATATAATGCTTCCATTAGGTTTTAGTGTGATGTTAAGACTTTTCTTTGTTTCTCTGGACTTTATCACGTGCTGCTGTCAGAGTCTGAGAGACTTCATCATTTTAGCACCTTCCTCTGTCTTAAGACTAGAATGGCATATTGAGTGTTATGTAAGTTGCTCATTGGCTAATATGCTGAATTTTTTTTTCCCACTTCCTCCAATTACAGCATTTCTTGCTTTTCTTCACTTTGTGTTATAAATAGAAATTGTACATTTTGGCATGACGGTGTCACTGCCTGACAACGTGACTTGTTGATGACAGTTTCTTTGAGGACTATTTCTGTCTGCAGCCTCTCAGATGTTTCCTGTTCTTCACAGATCAGCGACAGCGAGCTCCTCCACTGGAAGGAACTTGTGGCCAAGTGCATGACTGAATACTGCTCAAGCGAATGTAACAAACCAGACAACAAAAAGCTCGTTTGGATCGTGTCCAGGAGAACAGCTCAGAATCTCCAGGCCAATCACTTCAGTGTACCTGGCCTGCCAACTATCCCCGAGGGGAGCTGGGACAAGAGTGAGAGGTTAATAGAACAGTTTTTCAGTTTTCTTCACGCTGCATTTCGTCTGACTGAATATACTGTGCTGTCATTCTTGACTGCCAATGAACTAACTTTTAAGGCTAGTGGAGTCCTCAAATTTATGGCTCAGAAAACGTAGCATCCATTTATAAAGAAGTTCCATTTTAAAATTGAACTGGCTCTTTTGATGGTTAAATATGTAGTGGAGACCACAGATTATGTTTTAACCTTAAGTTAATATCATTCTGAACAAGGGCTGCAACAAACAATTGCTATTTTTATTGATTCATCTATAAAATGATTCTTTTGATCAATCTTTTAGTCAATAAAAGACCAGAAAATAACATATACTGTCCATTACAGTTTCCCAGAACAATGCATCACAATACATGTGCTTGGCAAAACATAATTATCATTAATCCAAATGTTTGCTGTCTGAAGAACCGATTCCCCGCCTTCCCACATTTATCTCTCGACATTAACGCAGAGAAGCAGCTAGAGTCAGGTTACGATTTCATTTGGGATTTGATTCCCTGTCGGCGGAATATCCGGATTCGTTAAGCTGCGACGCTAATAAAACTCTTATCAAACTGTTTATCTTTCCACACTTTACACTTAAGGTAGCAACTACCTGTTGCTGGTTAAAATAACATCACCAGCGGCAGATCAGATCAACTGTAGCTAATTAATGTTAATTCTGTGACGGCTGGGTGTTCTCTGGTTAATGTGCTCTCTGCAGCTGGTGTTTGTATTCAGTCAAGATTGTTTGCGAGTGAAAAGACACATCACACACACAGTACACAGTACGGCCGCCAGTGTTTTTGATGTTTAACAGGAACCAGAAGGGTGGTGACCAGAGGAATCAGTTCCGCTGTATGCTGTGAATGCAAAGTCTATATTGATGTATAGCCTTAATATATTTACAAATGTTGAAATCTAATGAGATTCAATAACGGATTTGAAAAGGATTCGGTTCTGGATTTGAATTTGATAAATGCCATTAAATCCCATCCCTATGAGGAACACAGATTGATCCTACAACAGTAGTAGAATAGTTCATGATCATATGAGTGTGGGATTTTCTATTTAACGACACTATTAACGGCCTCCTCCTCTCTCGCAGCGAGGACTCCTGTGAGGACATGAGCTGTGGAGAAGACAGTCCATGGGGCTCGCCAGGAAGCGACGGCGAAGGAGCCTTCTTCCCCTCCACCTTTCTCAGCTGCAGAAAGTGATGAGTCCTCAATGTGCAGTAGCGACCGATGTCTATTTGTCCCCTGAATTGTAACTGATTCTGAGTGTTTCACTTGTCATACCGTGTGCACCGTAGGCATGTCAAGTGACAGGTTTCGTTCATTAAGTGCCTGTGTTACTTCACGTTACTGTCTGTTTCTTTGAAAAAAACCCCAACATATCATAATAATGCGAAATTGCAATATCTTGGCAGCTTGATGGTTACTTCTGAATGTCTCTTTTTCCCAAGATGTTCTCTTTGTGTTTGTTTGTGTCCGAACTCGGCACATTCCAGGAAAAATAGTGAAGCACAAGGGAGAATTTATGGATGTCAGACATGAGGTACACTCTGTTGAATACCAGCTAACATACTAACGCATCCTCAATCTTTTTTTAAGTTTTTATACTCCATACCATCAATATATACAGTATTCTGCAAATGTATGTTATACACAATTCTAATGTGACATATATGACATTGTAGTGTGAAAATCCCAGACTATATGCATGGATACATTGAAACACGTGATTATGAATGGTTGTTGTTCATGTTGACCAAGATAAGCTTACTGTAAAAAAAATGTTTAAAAAAAATGTACATAAAAAAATGTTTAAAAAAATGTACATAACCTGTAAAAAAAGAAGAAAAAAGTGTATGTTTTGTGAATGCTACTTAATGTGTGTTGTATTTGGATATAATGTGAACCATGTTGGAAGGGTCAGAAATCATCTTTCCAAATAAAGAAAGTGCTTTTTATCTACATTTTCTTTGTTTCAGTTCACTTTTACTGCTTTTATTTTGAATTGTCCACAGGTCAAGTGCATTTCTAGTACCTCAAATTTACTTAAGTGGTGCTCAGATTAAAGAGCAGAGGGTATTTAATAGGGGGATTTGACTGCCTATTACTCTGTTCTTTCTATTTAGATCCCATTCACTTTATTACTGGGCTTTCCTTTATGCTGAGAGCTGCAGTGAAGCTCAGTGTGTGTGTGTGTGTGTGAGAGTGTGTGTGTGTAAGAGGGACAGAGAGGTGGTGGTGATACTGCTGGCGGTGGACGGGGCTTGTCTTTTTGAGCTGGCTGGATGTGTTGACACGCATTTCTGCTCCATCTCCTTGATTAAACCGGCAGCCCCGGAGGGGAGTCGCGGCGGAGTGTGAAGCGGCAGCGGCATTCAGGGGGGCTGGGCAGGCAAGAGGAATGAGATCGGACCGAGCCGCGGCATCTTCACCATGCAGCCGACCACCACCACCAGCAGCAGCAGCAGCAGCCGCCGTCCATTTTACACGACTATATGAGCCTCTAAACGAGCCGATGAGCGCCAGTTCGCCCGTATCTTGCAGACGGACAGCAGCAGCAGCGGTGTGCGGTCCCGGTGGCGATGACAACATAGGCCAACGCCTCGCTGCAGCTACGTACAGGGAATGAAAACGCTCCCAAGATGGTCCGCATCGCCAAGGCCCTGGGTTTGGTTATTCTGTGCGTCGCTGTGCTCATACTGTCGCTCATCAGCTATGTGTCCCTGAGAAAAGACAGCCTCTTCTCCTCCTCCAAATATTACATGGGAGGCCCGAGGATTATGTTCCATGCAGGATTTCGGTGAGTTCTCTTCTTTCTTGTTTTTTGTTTTTGTTTTTTTCCAGCGGTGGAGGTGATGCAGAGAAAGGTTGTTGTTGTAAATATAAACAGAGGAGTCGGGCCTAGTGTGCACGATTCAACGTGGAGGCGATGCACACATCACTTTCCTTTCTGTTTGGGCCTTATGCTTTGTGTCGGTGAAACTACGAGCTGTCCGAGGTGCTGATGTTGTTGCTCTGGGCGATGCATGATATAGGTACAGCACCAGTACTGTGTGAAGGGCTTACAATCAGCTTTTGTATGGACACATAATGTATATTGCAAAAAGCATACAAAGTCATACACAAGTGTCTGTAGAGCAAAGAGTGACTGCTGCTCTATATACATGAAGTGGGTGAACATGTACAGTATATGCATGTATACATACGTCTATATACAAAATATACATCATGCTTATATTTATATGACCTATATAGTTTATAATGTAGGGTTTCTGAACACTATATCACTGATTTAAGTGTTCATAACTTTACATTTTGTTACAAAAAGACAGTGGTGGAAAGTAACTAAGTACATTTACTTAAGTATTGTGCTTCAGTACAATTTTGAGGTACTACTACCTTGTGCTACTCCAAGGCAAATATTATAACAGATATCAGGTGAAACCTTTGCCTAAATACCTGGGAAAACAATAAAGACTAAACATAAATAAATGAGAGAGTGAAGCTTCAGCGGTTTACACACAATGGTGTCTCAGAATTGTATATTTTATGATTTTTGTTCAAAGGTCTCAGTTTGCCATGAATTTCCTGGACCCTTCCTTCATCCCCTTAACTAACGCCCTGAACGAGGAGCTCCAAGGAAAACCGTCCAAATGGAAGTTCAACAAGACCGCTTTTCATCAGCAGAGGTGAGAGTATAAACAGGAGACACAGAAGAATGTCCCCTGTGACTGTTAAACTATTATATATTATATAATTAGATTAATATTAAGCATTCATTAATGTAAACGCAGCATTTTACTGTTGTAGTTGGTTGAGGTGGAGCTCATTTGTATAGGACTGCAACTAGTTATAATTTTCATTATGGATTAATCATTATTTTCTTCATTAATCGTTTTATTGTTTGGTTTGTAAAAACTGAAGAAATCACAAATATCCAGAGCCCAGATTGACATCTTCACAGTGCTTGTTTTGTCCAATCAGATGTCCAAGAAGTGGGCATTAATCTGATGAATTCACTGGCTTGAAATGATCTCGAACGATAAACGACTATTGTTGGTTACTGGGTCAGCTAATGAAATAATCTACTAAACTGCTCAGTAAGTGATAGCTATGCACAATGTCTTGTTGCTGCATCATATTATTTATTGAGGATGTGGTCACTTGTTAAATTGGTTATTGTGTGATGGCTGGATGTGATGTGATGATGGTGTTGGATCAGACTGCCTACAGAAATAACACACCACCAAACACAGAAAAAGGCCAATAGATTTAAAGGTACATCCCCTGTAGCTGCCTGTCACAACATTAAGATATTTTTTTTTTTTCAGGAAGGATATCTTCAGCTACATCGACATTCCCAAAAACTTCTCCCTCACAAAGAACAGTGTGCGTGTTGGCCAGCTGATGCACTTTGACTACTCCAGCCACAAATATGTGTTTTCCATCAGCAACAACTTCAAATCCCTGCTCCCAGACACTTCTCCTATCCACAACAAGCATTACAGCATATGCTCTGTGGTGGGCAACAGCGGTATCCTGACAGGCAGCCACTGCGGGCCGGAAATCGACCAGGCCGACTTTGTCTTCCGCTGCAACTTCGCCCCCACGGAGGTCTACTCCAAGGATGTGGGCAGGAAGACCAACCTGACCACCTTTAACCCCAGCATCCTGGAGAGGTACTACAATAACCTGCTGACCATTCAAGACCGGAATAATTTCTTCCTCAACCTGAAGAAGCTGGAAGGAGCCATCCTGTGGATCCCGGCCTTCTTCCTACACACCTCAGCCACAGTAACCAGGACCCTGGTGGACTTCTTTGTGGAGCACAAGGGCCAGCTGAAGGTCGAGCTGGCCTGGCCAGGAAACATCATGCACGATGTCAACAAGTAAGAGTGTTAATCTGACTGTTTGTCCACTGAAGGGATTTAAGATTGGGGCCACAATTTTGGGTGATGTAGCACCCTGGTTGGATTTAATTTGACTTTAATCACTTAAGGTCCAGTGTTTGTAACATTTAGGAGGCAGAAATGGAATATAATATTCATAGGTATGTTTTCATTACTGTATAATCACCTTTTTATAGCAGCCATGTTGAATCACCATGTTTCTACGGTAGCAGACAAACGAAACACTGGCTCTAGTTTGGGCTTTTTGCATTTTCCGCTCAGCTGGACACTTTAGGTTGCGTTAGTATTTGACGACTTGGGAATGAGACTCAACCATCTTACTGGACTGGACTACCTTTAGTCCAACAATATGATGATTTGATATGATTTGATATGTAACGACCTTGGGCTGGGTATGGATATCGTGGCCCTTAAATCACGTGGCCGTGATTTAAGGAATATTACTCTTTTTTTTCTTCCTTTGGTTTATCACGACAAGCAACCCCTTTCACATGCACATAGTCATTTGATCGATTGTTAATATAAAAATATTGAATATAGCAGCTTTAACTGGATACATAAAATATGAAAAATCCAAAGAACTAAGTCGGGGCGTTGGAGGGGCTCATGACCTCAGTATTTTTTAAATCCTCCTATGACCCACAGTGTAATATTTTTGAAAATTATAAAACCATTATCACACACATTAACTGACAGGGGAAATTAAATAGACCAGATAAGAGAACAATCATAAGGGAAGTGAGATTATGGTCGGTGACTAAGGATTAATCATGGTTTTATGCTCTTTTGGATTAAATTTTGAATGACTGACTTGTCTTTTCCCTCATAGATACTGGAAGACTAAAAACCTCTCCCCCAAGCGTCTTAGCACTGGAATCCTCATGTACACGTTGGCGTCCGCCATGTGCGACGAGATCCATCTCTATGGCTTCTGGCCCTTCGGCTGGGACCCCAATACGGGCAAGGACCTGCCTTACCACTACTACGACAAGAAAGGGACCAAATTCACCACCAAGTGGCAGGAGACCCACCAGCTGCCCAGCGAGTTCAAGCTGCTCTACAAGCTGCACAGGGAAGGCGTGATTAAACTCAGCCTGACGCACTGCTCTTAGACATACAGTGAGTGTTGGATGGTTAAAGAGGTGACTCCAGAGATCATTGCCCAGATACATCAGCTCAGCTCAAACTTCCGTTGTGACCCACAATGCATGATAAGTGTTAAGGCAATTTATGACACCCTCATTCTACAAACACACACTCCACACCACGCTGTACTTACACATGAAGATGTCAGGCTCACTGGGGATGTAAATTACAGACTTATCACAGTGTTGCTCATTCAGTATATTGTTGTACAACAGTTTAGGAACCTTTATGCTGCTCAGTTGCTTCCATTACTCTCCTTTGCATGGCTGCTGGCCGTGGCTAAAGAGCTCGAACAGAACAAATGTCTATTTTATCTGGAGTCCGCAGGGGATTCAGCTGTGGGTACACAAACAGTTAAATCTTCCAGTTCTGTTTAACACATTATTGATTGATTAATCGCCTTTTACAACAGTATACTGATTCTGTACACTGAAATCACTGCCTAATCTCAGGGAAGGAGTTAGATCAGTGTTTTTTTGTAATCAGATTTAATGCCTCAAGAGAGGTGCAGTTCCTGTTTTCAGGCCTTTTCCCCCCATGAGGTGTCAGACAATCTGCACTGCTCTGAAAGATGGTATTTGTTTACAAGACTTTACTATATATATACATATATATATGTATATATATATATATATATATGTATACTTGTGTGTCTTTTATTCCCTGTAGACAGTCTGACTGTCCACTTAAAATTTTGTTTAGATTCTTGAAATTTTTGGAATAACAATCAACATTCCAACAATAAGCCATAAATTCATGGACAGACGATAGTGTGTTGTCATTACAATACTGAATTTTAGAAAGTGGTATCAGCCTACATTAGGTTCTGAGACTGTAAGACATTTGAAATATTGTCCACCGAGACTACAAGTCTAGAGCCATGCTAGCGGCTACATTGAAGTCACAGGGCTTTGATTTCCCAAAAAATAAATACTTTGCGATCTTAGGCAAACTCAAAATGTCATTTAACAACACTTACAGCTGTTCTGAAGGTATTTTATATTTATTATTTAGTCCGCTGCAGCATAAGAAAAATATTTTTAATCTGTTTCCAAATTTGCTACTCTATTTTCCTATCCAGGAAGCTGGAAATGACATATCTCCTTGCCCTTTTGCAACAAGACGAACATTTTGTGTTTTGTTGGAAATTTTTATCGATGAAAGACAAACATAAGGTATAGTAAAATTCTTTAAGTAAGATCCTTAAAGAAATCTCTTATTAAATAGGCTACTTTCAGAACACCAGTAAATTTAGTTAAACCACCTCCTGGGTTTGTCAAAGATCGCAGGGTGTTTATTTTTCAGAAAATCAGATACATAGTCCCGTGACTTGAATGTAACAATATATGAGAGTCACAAACTGGGGCTGAGGTTGTATCGGCTATTCGTAAATCCATCCACCCAAGTTTGTGTGTAAGTCAATTAACTACTAGCTAGTCTTAAAGTAGAAACTTACAGAGTGGCGTTGCAACCGCATGTTGATGACAAGACCTCAAGAAGTCTCTGCTCCTGGTCAAAATAAATAGTAACACCCCCCGTAACGCCACAAATTGACAATTTTACACATGTTTTTTGTACGTATGAAACAAACGAGATATGGTAGTCGGACTTTGTTATCTGTGGACAGAGCAAGGCTAGCTGTTTCCTAAATTTCCAGTCTTTATGCTAAGCTAAGCTAACTGGCTGCTGGCTCCAGCTTCATGCTGAATGTACGGATGAGACTGGTATCAATCTTCTCAACTAACTCTTGCAAGAAAAAGCGAATAACTTTCCCAAACTGTCAAAGTATTCCTTTAAAACCCAATATCTCAGTTGGTAAAGACTTTATTAGTGCAAGCTGTAATATCCACTTCAAAAATGTAAAAGTTTTATGGGGGCAAGAAACTGCCAATCCTTTATAAATCTAGGTATGTCTTTGTTTTATATGCCGAGAAATATCTATGTTTCTGAGTTAAACTATTATTCACTCAGCATGATTGGCAGATATCCAAATAACCTGAGTGTTGGACCATTTACTCTTTAATTAACGTTACTGGCATAACATTTTGTAATTATGTCTTGTGCCTCCTAAGTTCACATTATTACACAATTCAACCCGAATTCCATATTATTTCTTTTACTCTTAAACACTAAAGCTCAGGTTGGTCAGTTGGTCCAGTTAGCTGTGCAACAGTTACACCAGGCAGTTTAGCAGGCGTATATATTTGGTAACTATTTATGTATGTTTGTGTGGTGAAACCGGTTTTTATTTAGTGATTTGTAAATCTCTCTCATAAAGTTGAACTGGTGGTGACAGTAGGGACAATTTTGCAATTCTTACCAAAAACGTGACAAAAAATGTTCAACCTGAGGGTACCAGACTGAGACCATCTTGTAAACTAAATTACAGCGGTAGCGTGGTTAAAAAAATTTCAGGAAATACAACACTTTGGACACAGTTTCTCAGCACAACAGCTGATCTTGAGGTTTACCACTATTTAAAATTACAAAGATACTAAAGAAGAGAATACACTATTTATTACAGAGCGTTTGTTAACTTGGGGAAAGTTATTTATCCATCATATAACCATATCAATTCCAATATTTGTGACGTAAAAACAGAGAAATGGATGAATGTTATATGACTTACTGCATCTTGTATAAAGAGCATGATCCATTTAAATGGCATTGCATGAGAGGCACTAACAAATGTTTTAGGCTAGTTTTATACAACCTTTTTGAAGATTGTTTTGAGGGTAAAATTTTGTTCTTTGCTATTGTTTGTATTGCTGGTGGTGCATTCCTTAAGAATATCACCAGTGTCTTTGTATGAGAGATGCTGAGAGAAGCTAAAAAAAGAACCCTACTGCTATATTCCACATGGGACCAAACCTCTACAGACTTAAAAATTAACAAGCTTTATTTTTTGTAACTGTAGATAATCTTGGGCTCTTAAAAACGTACACTCCGTCATGCCAGACTGAAGCAGACTGGTGGATGTGGGGTTCAGGACGACTGGGCCCAAACAGTGAAAGCTGGCCACATGACCAGCTCATGACTCTGCAACATGTGCTTTTTCTTGCCAATTATGGTTTAATACACAGAGCAATGCAGTCATTAACACTTACCAGATGTAGCGTGTGCTTCTGTGCTCATTCAGATTTAGCATGGTTGGCATTTGCTTGCCATCCTGTCCCACACAAAGTGTTTTTTGTCTGTCTCCTTTGGCAAGATTAACATTTCAGATAGTAAACTTTTGTGTCTTGTCTCCAAATCAGTGCAGTCACCACAACAACCATGAAAACTCTATCTGATTAATTAAATAGCTGAATTTAAGACCGTTTGATTGATGTCATAGATATATACATTTAAGAATAATTTCTGTAGTCCCTTCATTAGGAATGTTTTGTAGGTACACCAAAGACCATGTGTTCAAAGGAGAAATGTTATGTACGCTTGAAGCTTGAATTTTGGAAGCTGAATGACAACTAACAAGTAGTATTGTATAAGAAGTGGAATATCCCTTTTTTGATGTTGAATTTGTTGTTGAATATCACTTTTTGTGGCACAAAATAATTGAAAACTTTAGCTTTTATGGCTTCAGCCAAAGTAATGTGGTGAAATTTATTTGTGAAATCCATTAATGTCCTCCTCTAGATCGATTTTTTTGAAAAATACACTGGCGCTGACATGAATGCTGGACATTTTCCTCCTCCAAAAAGTTCCATGTGTAGAATGTGTGTAAACGATAATGATGCTAATAAAGTCTGTGAAGATTGTAGTTCCAGTCAGAATAACAGTTTAGCTTTTTGTGCATTACATTTAAATGACAAGACAGTGACATACATAACCTAAACATACAATGTCTTTATTCCAAATGCAGCACTATACAGGATTTTGTTCCAACAACCCTTTAACATTCTTGTAATTGTGTTCGATCTGCATGGCAACTTTGTTCCATAATGCATAAAAAAGCTTGGCTGCTTATGTACATGTCGTATAAAAGTCATAAATCATGTAAGGGACTTTGCTATCTTGGTTGTTCTAACAAAAACGATCATCCATATAAGAAATGTAACCATGTCTTAAATGTTTTTTGATTATACTCCATGATAAATATACGTTATGTGCCTGCATATTCCTTCCATCAAGGCCTAAATGTGTCAAATAAAAACAGTATTTTTCTCTGATATTACCCATTTGAAGATTATAATTGCCTTATTTTGGTAGAATCACAACCACTTGGTGTCTTTAAAACATCACAGGTTTTACAATACCTTATACTGTATTCAGTTACTATATACAATCTTTAAAGCAATCTTTTTAAAGCAACTCCTCTCCATCCTCTATCCCACAAGGCACAGGCTGTGAATAAATAACATTACAGATAGCAAAGAGGAGAGGAATTCACACTGTAATAACAATGTTGCTTTAAGTAAAATGGGCCATGTTTTAGTCCTCTCATGTGTGGATAATATTATATAATATTGATTTTATGATCTCAGATTATCTTCAGCCTCACCTAGCAGGCACCCTAATAGAGCTCATAGAGTGGCTGCTGGTGGAAACATCAGCAGGCGCACCTCCTCCTCACAGGGGCCTCCTCCACTTCATGGCTGGCGATGGGGCTGCCGTTGGGTTCAGAGTTGCGGCCCCCGTTAGTGCTCTGGTCCATCCTCTTCATCACCAGGTCCAGCAGGGTGGTCACTGCCTGTTCCACACTAACACCCGTCACTGCGCTCGTCTCCAAGTAGGGGATGCTGACGAGAACGGAGAGAGGAGTTTTCTATGAAACAGTTAGGAAAGCGGGGCGTGGATCAAACAGAAGCTGCTGTTTAGTGGCCATATTGTGTGCATGTGTTTGTGTTGAGCAGCTGATAATCAATGATTCACAACCTTTTTTTGACTCCTGAAAGAGTAAAATCTATGTGTATGTCTATGTCACAGTTTGTATACATCTATTAGACCTATAGTGTATTTTTTAAAAACAATTTTAAACAACTTTATAGGGAAGAATATTCAATATTAGACAGAGAAAAAATAAAGAAAATTGCAAAAATCTAAAAAAGTTTGTGAAGCAGAAATGTATTAATAAAAATAATAATTATTCTATTAATAACAACAACCAACATTTATCTCCCTGACCCACAGGCTGTGCTGAATGAAATGATAAACCCCCAAGAGGAAGACCAGTGGAGCAGGGTTGAAAACAGCTCACTAGCACCATCCTGTGGTGCACTAGAGAAAGAAACATCTTTACTGCTTGGTCATCTACAGTGGGTTGTAAACACTTTAAATGAGGGTGACACTCATTACTTAAATTAAAAAAACACCTGAAAATGTCTGTTATTTTAATTATTTAACATGTCAAAGATAAAATCATAATAAGTGGCACAATATGTGATCCAAATTTAGCCCCATCACCAAAAATGGGAAATGCAATCACACTCATTTACAACATCTTTTCATTTGAAGAGCTGTAACCAGTAAATTTGGGGGCATTTCTGTTTAAATAATGACGTTTTAACAGTTAAGCAATTACAACAGTTTCCAATTAACTTTATGTCAATCAATTCATTTATTGAGGTTGAAATCAAACACTGTCACTGCGGTCTCAGGGCTCTACCAGGTGAGCTACCGTGCGCCCCAGAAGTCAGTATTTATCAGTAACTGAAAGCGTTCAATAATATGTGTTCATGTACATACATACACCCTTGCACACTGTCTTACTGCTAGAATATTTATTTACATGTAAGTCGGTTTGAGTTACAAGGTAATAATTGTGTAAATAAAATATGTTAATACATTACATATTATAAAACTTACCTCTGAGTGTGGAGTAAGTGTGAGACAGGTGTTAGATAAAGACATCTGTACTACACTTCACACAGTCTCACACACTGCAGCTATACACACTTGCTGAATCTAATAAACAACAGTAAGTATTTAATGCCTCACCCATATCTGTCTGCCAGATCTCTGGCCTGTCTAGTGTGGACATTCCTCAGATCTCGAAGGTCTGCCTTGGTGCCCACCAACACAATGTCTGGACTATCGCAGTACGCGTTGGCCTGTAGCTGACCTGAACCAACACAGAGGAAGTCATTTATACCCATGTGACGCAAATAGACATGCATGAGCAGACTTGAAACACTGTTCAAAAATTCCCTTAGTCAAGGTTAAAGAGGGCGGATTTGCATCTTGCTTTCAGTGGCAATAAGAGAGAAAACATTGATCTCAAAGAGTATTGATCTGAAGCCCAGCAGGCTGCTGAGATGACACATACTCATCCAGTTCCTGACGTTGAGGAAACTTTGCTGATTGGTCAAGTCAAACATCAGCAGGAAGCCCATTGCGTCTCTGAAAAACGCTGTAGTCAGGCTGCGGAACCTGAAAACAGATTTTTGTTATACAGGCTCCCATATGTAGATTTTTAGCCATGCTTGGTTGGTCGGTCCAGCATTTGGTCCTGATAGAAACATCTCAGCAACTGTTGGATTGCCATGACACATGTAGACATTTCTGCTCTGACTTTAGTGATCCTGTTTTCTCTAGCGCCCCCATGAGGTTAAAAATTTGTGGTTTTGAGTGAAATATCTCAACTGTTGGATGGATTACCAGTAATGTAGTACACACATTGGTGATCCTGTTACTTCTAGCACCATAATCAAGTTAAAGTTTTAATTTGTCCAATTTGATTTATGACCAAATACCAGAAAAACTACTGACTTTCCTATCTTTGTCAAATGTGTTACCATTTAGCTCAAAGCACCACTGTGCAGGCTCACACAGCTGCTAGCTGCAGCGTAGGTGCTTTATCTTGTTAATGTGATTATAGCATTTTTCAAATTATTTTGATTTATTTTTGTTGAAAAATGTGCCAATCCTGTTCAATAAATTGCTTGCTTAGCCGTAGCCCATTTAGTGTCCCCTGGTTTGCATTAGTTTGTTGTAGGGAGTAACAGCGTACATTGCTGTTTTGAGACTACCACTAGGTCCACATGGGGGCTTTAAATGATCATGTCTAAATGTAAAACATATTGTGGACACAAGGTTAGATTTACCTCTCTTGTCCCGCTGTATCCCAAAGCTGAAGATGGACTTTGAAGTTCCTCTCAGTCGTCCCATCAGCACCCATCCCCGTGTACATCTGAACCAAACCACACAAGCATGACAATCCTCCCAACCTCTAAACTGACTTAAAGTAAAGAATCACACACCGAAGACAACGTTTTAACATGTATCACTCACCACTCTCTTTTCCCTGAAGTCAATGCCCACTGTAGTTGTGAACTTGCGGTTGAACTTGTTGTCGGTGTACCTGTGGAGGAAGGTGGTCTTTCCCACCCCTGAGTCTCCCAGGGCCAACAGCTTGATCAGATAGTCATAGTCCCAGTCAGCCATTGTGCAGCCTAGTGCTCCACCTGCCACAGAGTTGAACTCACAGTACAATGCTATGGTAGGTTTGATGGATCATGTAACCATAAAAGTTTAGAGAAAGTTTGCAAGTAGCCTAAGGAAATACTTAAAAACTAGAAAAGGAAGGGGAAATAGTTCCACCTAAGCTGCAGATTTCAGTCTGAGGGTGCAGGACCATCACACAAGCTTAGCTGGACGTCATAACTCCCCACTCATTAGGCACTGATCAGAGAGGGACTAGCACATGACTGGAGCTGGCTTCCACATGAGCAGTCAAATGCCTCGCCAGAATTTTCTCAGACATTGCTGAGTGTAAAAACAGAGTCTGTTTGGCAGACAGAACTCCTTTTATTGACTTGAAGGGCTGTGGGCAGACAGCTCAAAACTGCATGACACCACTCAGGTCACCGCACCAGGCGGGCCAATAAAGGCAGCATGGAAAATCATTTTGGTTATGTAGGTGATGGTCACAAACAAATCCATTTATTTTCTTTAGTATACTTCCCGGGAAAGCTTTAGGGTGTGTGAGTGCATTGAGGAAATATTCATGGTTATGCAACTCAGGTTCCAGTGGCCTACTACCATGAAAATCTACCATGTGCATGATCAATGGAATTGGGTTCTTTGCTATCAGCCGAGTAAGGAGAGTACCAAACCCTCTAAACCTACAGCAGTGTTGTCTGACAAAACTTTCAATTTCTAAAATACCCCCAGAATCAAATACCCACTGACAGTTTCACAGCTGCCTTAAAATTACAAAAAAGTAAAGTACTTTACCAGTCTATCTGCAGGTGTCAACGTCCATTCAGAGGTCCCTCAACTCAAATAACAAATAAAATTTAGTCACACATAAACTATCATGACACGATGGCACATCAAGAACCTTTCCCCCTTCTCACATGTGATGCAGGGAGGAGTTTCGTTCCAGCAAGAAGCAAGTGGGGCTGTGCTTACAGATCTTGTGTTTTCTGGTATTTCTCATGAGGAAAAAAAGGCTCTTTGAAAACTGGACTGTGGCCCCTGTTGACGATGCTAATGCCTCTGTGGATTTCAGTGGAAATCGCCCCGACTAAGGACCAGGCCCCACATCTAGAGGCTCAGTAGTAATCCTGCTTTCTTTAAACAATGCCAGAACAATATGAAAACAATGAACCTGATTTAGGTCCCCTTAATATTTTAGAATTGATTTAATCTATTTTACTTTGATCAATGTTTACAAAGGATAACATAATATGATCACGGGTAAAGGGGGACTTCACATATAATGTATGAAAACAACATATTCTCATTTCCAAAAAGGCAGGCATATTAACACTGACATACAGGGGTGGATAACAAAACAGAAACAAATAACCAAAAAGTAAATACCAACTTGGTCAAGCTCAAGATTTCCATGCTGTTTTTGTTGGGATTGTCAGAGGTGTTGATCAAAGTCAATAGTGGAGCTTAACATTTTAATTCTTGACTTTAGAGACAGTAGTTTAAAAAAAGGCTCCACTTACAAGATGCTTATTAGAAAGCTGCAGAAAAAAAGCTTGTAAGCGAACCCCCAGTTATGTAGTTATGTGTTCAAACTTGATGATCATTTTTCAGTAATTTGTTATATCCCATTAATTAACTCAATCATTGATCAATTAATTAATTGTGAAGTCAGGCAGTGACAAACTGTTAAACCTCCTACTGTAGAATTCCTTTAAAGTGTTTCTTTTATTCTGTTCACTCTGTGTATGTATCACATGAGAACACGAAGACATACAATACTTTCTTTAAGATAAATAACATAACAAAACATAACATAACTAGTCAAAGGCCATCTCTAACTGGGTTTGAAATACTTCAACAAATTATTCGCCTGACTGCCTTTTCCTGCAGCCTTTCTGTCTTTGTTCATCAAGCATCTCCCTGGTTTCCTGGACGAGGCGGTCTTCAGGACTGGCTTCTGTTGCTTCCATTCAGACAACAACTCCCTTTGAACATCCGGTGGAAGCTCCGAAAACACCTCAGGGTCCACATTTCCTGGTAACACACAGTCAGAAGACTCGGGGAATGACAGTCTCCCCTCTTCCATGACGTTTTCTCCTGGAAATGCACTTGTGCCCCCAGGACTCTGGTCATTCACGGTGGTCGGCCTGTCAGATGGAACCGATTTGTTTGCAGCCTCTTTCATGTCTAGAATATTTTGTGAATCTTTAATCGTCTGTGGAGACTTGTTTTTTATGTGGGAGACATCAACAACTCCATCTGAGCTCATTGAAGTGCTAGGGAGAGAGTTTGTGTAGGCGGGAGATAACAGCTCCTTTTGGATTTCCTCAGGGAGAAGCTTGAACACTTCTGGGTCAACATACGGGGGCAATTGATGTGTCACCATGTTATCTGTTTCATCAGAGTCTGACCTCGCTGTGCTGCAGGGTACTTCCTGAAGCTGACGGTCTTCTACAGCGACAACAACGGGGCTCTGTTTTCTTTTAAACCCATGTAATGCTGCATCAGAACTGTGAGTTTTTGTGGGGACTGTCTTTTGTGAGGCGTGCTGAGATATCCCGCTGTGTGTGCTGAACTGATGATCCATGCAGTGACTGTCCCCACTCTGAGATGAATCATCCTATTGGAGATTAAAAGACCAAAAATGATTTCCGGAAATTCAGAGGATAAGGTCTCTTCAGCGTGTAAGCATGGAGCAGGGTTCGCCAAGTTACATTTAATACCGTTTTAATAACAAAAAATGCCATTTAGTACCTGTTTCACAATCTTCAACTTCAACATGCTGATGGGCGTCACGGCTGGTGTGATCCCAGTGCAAAATGGTCTCTAGTTTGTTATTATTATATCATGTCTTTTCCGTACTTCCCAGCAGTATATATATGTATGTATACTAGTTAAATCATTCCTGATCATATAATTAATTATATTAATGTGACTTAAACCCAGAGAGGTGGCAAAAAATAAAATGGATGGATGGTTTAACCAACTAAAAATAATTAATTTGCCCATTATGGGACGATGAGCTTTCTAGTTAGTTGACAGTAAGTAACAGTGTTTGCTACAGGTCTAATGGTGCCGACTGAAACTCTAAACTCCAGTCCACTTTCGAACCAGCTGCAATTAATCGATTCATTTGTTGTTAGAAAGATTATCTGCAACTATTTAGAAATTTGATTGTTTCAGTAATTTTTCAAGCAGAAATTGTAGTTAAAAAAATTAAAAACATGTTATACATTGTCAGGTTTCAGCTTCTCAAATGTGAGGATTTGCTGCTTCTCTTTGTCATATATAAAAGTAAACCGAGTATCTTAAGGGTTTTGGACTCTCGGTCAGACATCCCTCTTTTAGTTTATAGGTATATATCATCTCCCGACAGCCCGAAGTTGGATTTAAAGACCTTTTATAATGAACATAAATTCAAGGTATTGAAAACTTTGTAAATTAAATTTAAACCTTTTTTGAGGAAACTGAATACTTCTTAAAAACTTTTCAAGACATACAGACACCCCGATAAAGATAACCAGATAAGCCAGATTATGCTGCATTACTTCACTGTATTACCTGGCTTTGTGTTGAGAAGAGTTGTGTTTTTCTGGGAGACGTGCTATGTGTGAAGAAAGACGTTATGGAGCCCTTTCCACTGACGGCAGCTCCCCTGGTCTGCAGGTTACTGAAGCAAACGTTAATGAGGGTGAGGTGGAAGCTGCCGCTGCTGTCCACCATCTTGTGGAACAACTTCATGGCCAATGGGACCAGCTGGAGCACAGCATCATCACTGCTGTCTATAGAGACAATACAGAAAATAATGCTTTATTGGCAGTTTCGGATATTAGGATATGGAGATTATAGAAAATAATACACAGGGCAACATTGGTATTCATTAGTATTTGAATGTCCAGTATTTATCTTTTAGCTCTGTTTTCGTCTCCACCAAATCCTGAGGGAAATATCTGCCTCTTTAGCAAATAAATGCTCCACTATGTTCATCACCAGCTTATAAATCACCCTTTCAGGATGGACAGAAGTGCACTGTGTTGAGGCACACAGACAACGTTTTTGGGTGCTGTATGTAACTGACAAAAATCAAGCATGTTCAAGAATGTTTACAGCGAGTGGAAACGTGTCTTCATGTGCCATCCTGAGCTCTTGCACGTGGAATATTACGGTGTCTGAGCTTACCCGAGGTGATCTTCTGTCCTATGTGAGTGGGGATTGGAGACTGCCGGCTCTCCCTACTGAACCACTTGTTGGTCGCTGAGTATCTACGGATGGTAAGCCGGAAGGTTTGAGGTTGCCTGCCATCTTTGTGCATCCTGGTTTTCAAACAGATGATAAAAGGCTCAGTGGCTTGAGCATAAAAGACCACAACTGCATGTTTTAAATAGCTGACAAAGTCTCTCACCTCTCCACCAGATTGCTCAGGAGTTCTTGAATCTTTTCCAAAACATCTTTAGTTGATGACATTTTCTTGAAGGAGTCTTCGTCACTGAGAGACTGAAAGATGAAGAAGATACTAATTAAGTAAAAAAAAATATGGTAAAATATCACATTTTACATTAAAATTGACAAAAGATAAGAACTCAGATGATGACTTAAAATAACAGTAATAATAGCAATGTTCTTGAGTTTGCAGACCTGCACCAGTGAGTTGACAATTACTTTGTTTTTGTAACTCTTACCCCCTTAAAGATTGTCCAAAATGACACCCCAGCACGTATTTTTATTTATTTTATTAAGGTAATATATTACTTTCTCTTACTTTCACTTGTTGCTGCCTTCAGGGGTTAAAATGGCTTTCTGCAGAGTGATCTGTTGGTGTGGACTGTCCGGAGGAACAAAGAATAACCCCAGGAAAGAAATGCTGAATTTTCTAAATGTATTTTTTAATGCTTTACCAGGAATTTCATTCACCTCCATTGTACTAGTGAAATTTTGGGGACAGATATCTCAAATTTAATCTATCTAATCTTTATTTATCTATTTGTTTTTTTGGTAATCTGGCTGCAAGATAATTGGGCTTTTACTGAAAGTAAAAATGTACTGACTGATGATTGACACAGTCAAATAAAAAAGCTTACATTATATATAATTAGAAATTTTAAGAACTGAAGGACCTGATAATGAGGCGATTTGGACTGAGCTCTGGTGGGCTATAAACGCAGTTTAAGAAGATACTGGTAATTTCCTAGCCTACCTGAGGGGCACCAGATGGAGTTACAGGTGAGTCATCAACACCAAGGGCCAGATTCTTCAAGCGCTGAGCACTGGGACCTCCAAACTCTCTCACCAAGTCATTCAATGGGAAGAGCTGCAGGTCCTTCACACTGACCAATCCCAATGCTTGAAGCCTCTTAGCGGTTTGGTGACCCACCCCTAAGAATACATGATCAGACCACAAACTTATCATCCAGGACACTTGATAATTGTGACATGGGCCAAAAACACATCGTAAGAGCTTTGAATTGAAAAATAATTACACATCTATACCCGGTACTTTGCGGAGACCGCTCAGACAGCCAATGATGTCACTGATGTTCTCCGGCAGCAGCGTAGTTTGCTGGTTGGGTTTGAAGGTGCCCGACACCAGTTTGGCCAGTAGCTTGTTTGTGGCGATGCCAGCACAACCAGTCAGACCCAGTTTACTGTGGATGGCTTCTCTTAGCTCTGCTGCAATGTGTGAACCTAAAGCCAACCTTGGATGATCACTGGCTTTAACAGCTGCACCTGAGCAGGACAAGAAAAGAAGACATTTATGTTATCTGTGTGGTGAAAAGCTGACATTCTTCAAGAGGATCCAAAAGTAAACTTTTCATGTGGTGGGAAACAGAAAGCGCAATGCAAATATGTACAAGTTTTAAGCGTCTAGGCTTGTTTCACAACTCAGTTCCTGGTTTCCATGAGCCAGATGTACATAGATGTACAGCTCTCACCAGAGGCACAAATGAGACTTACTGAAATGGTTGTAGACATGTCCTTTAAATGAAAGGTTTTTAGACTCCGGGGTCTCTGCCAGCCTTGTTTCTACCATCTTTGTTATGTCCATGAAGTTTTCATCAAATCCAAGTCTCTCTACCAGTGGACAGTAGGACACCAGCAGCTCTGGAAAGAGGACAAGAAAAGGTAAACAAAGAAGAGCACCGACACAGAAAATATACATGATGTTGTTGCACTAATATGTGGGTTATAATGTAGGTGTAAAAGTAGCAAAGGCAACAGTCATAGTGGTAGCATAGCAAGAGATGCTGAGAAAAGGATGACACTTGCATGCATTGTTTTTTTTGTAAGTGGACACATGTTGAAAATGCATTCTCGAAAGAATCTGACACCAAAATGTGTTGTTTTGTGTTTTAAGATAGCTCCAATATTCTCTGCTACCACCTAACAGCAAATAGACCCACAGGTGAGAGGTGACATCGTGTGTTTTGGAGTGGATTTACTCTAAATAATGAATTCCAACTACTTAACTAAATGTTACAATTTGTATGGGGAATACAGATATTTGCAGACCCCCTGAGTGTGATGTATCACTCCCGCCTACCTGTCACTTTATAGGACATGTCTCTGTAGTGTGTCAGGTCTTCTCCTTTAACCAACACCAGCTGAGGACACTTCTCCTTAGCGTCGGTCACAGACATCAGCTTGGTGACCCCCTGCTCCCTTGCCACATAGTTACAGGTGACTATGATGTATTTCTGCTGAATACCTGATGATAGGAGAAACATTATTGACCCACAAAAAGTACTTTATTTTATTCATTCCACTCAGGATCTTTTGTAGTAAATTTACCTAAAGGCACTTCTCTCAGTGCTGGGTTTCTGATCATTTCCACCTGAGCATAGAAACAGTCCAGGTCAAAGTGCAGAATGACTCTGTGTGCAGATGTTGGTACTGACTTCTTATTGAGGTTTGGACCTGAAACCGAGATTACACATACAATAATTACTAACTGACACGTGTATATAGCGGATAGGCAGAGTTATGTTTCCCTCTGCGTGTTCAAACGGCAACTGAAAGCCAAAATAAAGTGGTTTCAGACAGTTTACCAGCCTCCCTGTCTCCATACTTCACCTGAGGCAGCAGCAGCTGCAGCGGGGCTGAGTGGGACTGAATCCACGAAACTGCTCTTCCACTCGGTTTCATCCTCTTCCATCTCATCCTCGCTCTTATCCATTTGAAACAACGTAAATGTTATGTGTGTTGTTTTTTTGTTGTTGTAGTTTTCAATATGCGAGATAAGAGTGCTGCTGTAGCGGTGGGGAAAGTGTACCAAACAGTGAAAATACTCTTTCGTTGTAGGTCCCAGTTCAAGTCTGTGCAGCAGCGCCATCCGCCGACACGGAGGGATTACTACGACACAACGAGCCGCAGTCAGTGTGACCGCCTAACGTGAATCAGCTTCCGTGGCTCAAAATGTGTTGTATTTATTTCGGGATTAAATAAGCTTTTTTCCCCCTGAAAAATATTTGTCTTTATGGACTTTAAAGTCGCACAATTTTAACAAATGAAGACAGTTAAGTAAATATTTAACGTTCGTCCGGCGACCTGAGCAGAGTGTATAAAAGTGAGGCTGACGTCCCTTGAAGCCTCCACCTGCAGCTGTCCGGGAGTTAGTTAACTAACTAACGTTAATTAGTTTAACCAAAGGGTTTGTCCATCGTGAAAAGTAGCGTTTTTGCTGATGTTTCCCTCGTCTGGTCTCTTTGCTGATATAAATTGTCCTTTCTCTAAACGTGGGCTTTGTGAGCGGCCTCACTGTTTGTACAAACATGCCACAGAATTGCGGGATGCGTTTGGTGCCTCGGATAAATCATCGATACTTGACTTTGCAGGTCAGTGTTTTCAGGTATGCTAGCTAATGTGAGCTAACGTTACAGTGTATGTGTCGGTAGTGTTGCCTGTTAAAAGTTTTCAGTTGCTTATTTCAAAGTGTGCTTTGAAACTTTAACTCTTGACTGCCTTGCAGGGTTTTTTTGCATTCAAATAATGGTTAATACATTTAAAATGAAATGGTAGATACATTTCCTTGGAGAAAAAATGAGCCACCTTTTGTCCTGGTCCCTGTAATTTTAGATTAAGTTTTGTTATTTAGCTAATGAATTAAACACTTTTGTGGGTCTGTTTTGTTCCCAAGACAGGTAAGGAGAATGAATGGTTTTATGAAAAATATAAAATTGTATTTTTGGTTCTTTTCTCTACATTGAATTTAATTCAAAACACTTTATTCATTCTGCAAGGGGCAATTTATGGTAAGCTGGTTTTAAACCATAAAGCACAAAAACACATGGTAGTGTAAAGATATTTGCTCCTGTATGCAGCCACAGGTCACCATAGTAGAACTTCCCACAGCTTATTTAATCTCACCCTGTATTATCTTCCACCATATTTCACATACATTTTTAACAGGAGTCAAAAATGGCTATGTGTATGCCGACTGCGGGGCGCCAGTGAATGATGAGACCAAAGATGACTGCATCCAGGAGCTGGAGCGGATCAACAAGGAGATCGAAACTGTAAGGCACGAGGTGGAGCAGGAGCAAAGGCGACTGTCGCACTACCAGACTGTACAGGCAGACAGCAGAAACACTGCGCCTAATCCTGCTGTTTCCAAGTCTGAGACTGCAGGTAAAAATGCAGGCAGAGGTTTTCACGGAAGGTCTTCGTGCACAAGCTTAACTAAAAAGTACACCCGAGCAAAGAAGTACGTGGTTGACAACTCGAAACCGAGGACTGATTTGGAGTATGACCCTCTCTCCAACTTTTCTGCTGACTTGCGGTCTTACAGCTCATCAGGTAAAGAACAAAAAGTGAAAAAGGGACAAAGTTTGAAAAGACCAAGGAACGCTCTACCTTGTGACCAGAAGAAGCCAGCGGCAGATCAGGCTCCGCTTTCCCGATCGCCATCTCCAGAGCCACTTGATGACTCAAATGAAGACAGCGTCCTGATTATTGACATTCCTCCCTCGCCTGACAAAAAGAGAGGGCGAGATCAGAAACCAGTTGATTCTGTTGCTGGCAAATCCCTCCAGGAAAATGTAGAAGAATCGAAGGAGATCAAAACAGCGACTATTTTACTTTATTCCCCACCGCTTCCAAACACTGAGGCATACGCGGTTACATCTCCACCTGCCCCAACAGTAGAAAAAAATATAGTTAATAGTAAAAGTGGTGCTGAAAACAATCAAGGTCCATCTTATCTTTATGAGAACAAAGAATTTGTAAATATAGCAGTGGATGGGAGTGTAGTTGACCTAACTGGATGTTTAGAAGACGGGGGAAGAGAAAGCCAGACAATTACTCACTTCCAGGCTACTGAAACAGTAGTGGAGAAAAGTCCTGAACCTGCAAGTCATCCTGCCAACACAGACCAGCAAGACTGGAACAATCTTGTGGCAAAAAAGGAAGAAAACACGTTTCGGATTGAATTGCCCCAGTGTGAGAAAATGGAGCCTTATCATTTTCCCCAAAAGAATTCACTTTTTTATGAAGCTCCAGCTGCTATCTCAGACCCACCCTGCATGCAATATACCAAGAAAGCCCAGACAACAGAACAGCCAGCTCAGAACAGAGTTACCAATCAGTGGTCTTCCACAAAATGTGTACCGTCAGTGCTTCCACACCAACAGAAAACATCAAGCAAAATGCCAGGACTGACGCAGGGTAAAGCTGCTGTTAACCATGCTCAACCTGAAAGCTGCCTGGAGTCAGCAAAACTAGCTTCAGGAGAGAGCCAAGGTCTGGCTGGACACAATTCATCAGCATCAAGTTTGACAAACGTAGCTGAATCTTCATCCACATCAACTGAACAGCTTTTGGAGAAAGATAGTGAAGGGTTTATATTCATCGAGTCTAGCTCTGATGACGAAGATGAGCTCAACTATTCAGAAATTGAGCTGTCTGACAGTGACCCAATGGAGGAATGCTACAGGATCTTCATGGAAGCAAACAACGACGATAAGGGAAATGAAGAGCAGCCTGATGAGTTTGTAAGTATGTAGATACTCCAGATCAAATATGAAGAAAGTTTGTCTGTACAGTGTAAAGGTCTTTGACTTAATCTTGTCATTTTTAGGTTGAAGCTATGGATGTGGAGAAACCGGAGTTTAATGCCAAACTCCAAGCATTGCCAGGAAAGAAGAGGGTGGCTCATGAAGCCAAACATACAGAGGTACATGCTATATATGCATGTAATGCCAAATTTTAAGTATTCATATACAAAAATACACAAAACAGAAGTTGACATTATGTATTAAAACCTTTTATATAATTTGCACACTGCACTTTATTTCTTTCCACATTAACTTAAACAATTAATATAGTTTACAAAACACAATTTAAATTACAGTTAAAAATGTAAACGATTTTTAAATTGATGAAATAAATAAATTATATGCACTTGTGTAGTAGACTCAAATGTATTTTGATAATATGGTGCAATATATTTAACCATAGATAATTTTATGAATATAAGATGAATAAGAGTGGCAATTTTCCTCTAGGTCACTACCCTAGAGAAAAGTACCTAGCCTAAATTGTCCTTTTAAGCACATATTTTGATTTATCTGCTTCGTTCAGCAGCCAGTGGCTAAGAGAAGACCTCAGCCCCAGGTGCTGGTTCCCCTACGTGGGCCTGCTGTGTCGGGGATTGCCTCCCAGCCTTCCACCACCACCAAGATTCAGCAGGTACAGCAGGTACAGCAGAGAGCCCCCATGCTGACTGCTTCATTTAGAGGTGGCCAGACGTCCGTTTCTTCCGCGTTTCAGGGGAGGCCAGAGACCCAAAGTACACCTACTCCTTCAGCTCAAACCCCTGAAAACCTGCAGCTCGCTACTGTGCAAAATGGTAAGCATCTGTTTGCTGTGATGGATTAGGGTTTAAAAAAAAAAAAAAAACATTACAGTGTCAAGATCAAATAGTAGCACTGTTTCCCATTAATTACCTAGACTATGGCGGTCTACCATCGTCTAATTTCCCCCACCATAGTGCTTTAGCAAAGCCTCTCTCACTCAGTTTTAGTATCTGCCATCAATAACTAGTGGACAGTCTCGCTCTGCCCCTCCTGTCTAGTGTCAGTCACGCTGCTCTGCAGTTATACACAGAGAGAGAGAGAGAGAGAGAGAGAGGAAGGCAGTCACAACACCTCTCCCTGGAGTTCAAACCGTGAGGGGGGAGGTGGGGAAAAAGATGGCAGCTTGTAAGACCAGTGTGGTTTGTTGCAGTGTTTTGATAGGAAATTAAAACACGCTATTGTCCCTTTTTTATAAACTGTCATATAAGGCTAAACACTTGACGATGCACAACCACATTCAGCACGATGGATATGTGGATGTTAACCTGCAAGGAGAGGAGGCTGCTTGTGCTAGCGCTGCTAACGTTAGCCACGAACCAAGATGACATTTACTGTCCCAATCCACAGATGCTATAATCCCACTCGGACTGTTCTATATATTGTCTTCTGATTTAATAATGTTTCCAAATGGCTGTTAAAATACAGGTAGTATTTTTTTCTTACAATATTTAACTGACAAGGATATTAGTTGCCAGGAAGATCCCTACTCAAAACTCAAACTAAGCAATGCTGATCAAATGTGAATCAAGATTCTGTCACTGCATTTCCTATTTCTCGCCTCAAATGTTTTCAGAAACATGTTGTAGTGTACTGTTCAACTGTAATACAAGAAAGTACGATCAGGCAAACTGCCTTACTGCTACGGACAAAGTAGAATTTGTGTGGTGTATTTTTGTGGCTTTTCCTGGATGCATCATATGCGTTTTTGTCTTATTCCACAGCTTACATAAACTACATACCTTTGGGAACTGCTGTGATCGAAGTGGGCAACAACTTGCACTTGATCCTCCCAGAGGGCGCCTTCCCTCTGCCTGTTTCTTCCACTTCCAGCCAAGTTACTTCAGTGCTAACCCCAATGAGTCAGGTACATACCAGCACTGTAGCTGTGAAACAAATATACCATCCACCTGCAGTTACCTCTGTGCAAAGATACCGCACAACAGCACCCGTGCTCATTCCTGCGCCAGCACGTAAACCTTCGCTGACTTCTTCCTTTGCATCGGCATATTCAAGTCCAGCCACTTCCACTACTCCTCAAGCTGCTGTTCATGCTACTGTGAAGGTGAGAAGTGAAAAACCACCTCTGTTGGGGACGTGGTGCGAGTTAGACACATGTCATCAGTTGAATATTAACAATGAATGTATTATTTTAGCCAATGCCTACTAAACGTAAATTGAAGCAGCAGTGTGAGGCCGCCAAAGACAAAGTGCCGCATGACCTCCGACAGCGTTACGTCAACATGTTCACGGAAGAGTTTCTCAAAACAACAACCAATGTTAATGATGCCTTTGAAAAGGTGAGCTTGTCCCACTCAATGCCATCCTGACTGACAAGCTACAGTCTCGATATTAATTTAATTTCTGTCCATGTTGTTGTTGAAAGGCACTTGCTGAAGAGAGGACTGTGTATAATCGCAGTGTGAACAAACTCAAATATCAGAGTGTTGCAGTGAATGCACTGAAGAGGCTGAAGAACCAAAGTGCTGTTGCTGCTAAAGGTGGAAATCTCTGGAAAACCCCAACTTTTCTAAATAAAATGTGTAAATGATGCTGGTAAGATATAATTTAGTAATATGTCATTTTTTTTCACGTGCAGATGAAAAAGTCATCAGCCAAAGACTGAAAGGCAACATTCCTCTTAACCTGAAGAAGGTTAAAGGAAATGGTGAGAATTGGTTACATTTTTATTTTGTCCTTTTGCATTTGTCATTTCATTCAAATATTTTGACCGCTTCTAAGTAAATACATTTTTCCAGCAGACGATATGGCATTGTATGACAGTTTGAAGGACTATATTTTGACTGAGGAGAGGCTGATTGAGAGCAACTATCCTGTCGATCACCCAGAGAAACCTGGTTGGGCTATTCTTTTTGCTGACAATAAAAAAGGCAACACAGACTGTAAGTGAAATCTTTAAGACAATTTAATGCAGTTCTCATATTATATCACTAGAGGGCACACTTAACCAGTGATGTACTTGCATTGAGGGTTTTATTTTCTCAGTACATTTCCCTCTGGCTTTTCTTGGTTAAAGCCCTGAAGAGGATCTGCTGTCGATGTGGGGCTACATTCTCTGTGAGCCAAACGGGCAAACACATTCGTAAGGAGGAGTGTAATTACCATTATGGGAAAGGCGTTAAGAATAAAGGTGAGTATACTATAGTTGTATGCTTTAAAAAACATCCCAAATACTTCAAACTGTTCAATATACAGCTTACACCATTCATGGTATACATTTCTAAACCGTTTACAGTGCCCGGTGGAGTGGAGACCCGCTACAGTTGCTGCGAGGGAGTCATGGGAGCACCTGGATGTCAGGTGTTTAAGGTAAACAAAATTGGAATGGGAGATTATTATTATTATTATTATTATTATTATTATTATTATTATTATTGACCTCAACTCTAACAGTGGGTTAAGTAATATTTTGTTGTCTCACTAGTTTGCATGTCATGATTCCCTCAGCCTTTGATGGTTTGGTGTCTACTGTTCCCAGACACTCCCAGGCCCGATACGCGGCTGTCCTGGGTTTCTACTCCTTGGATTGTGAAATGGTGACCAGCTTTCTTTGAAGGGGCTCAGTTTTTTAAAAATCTCTTGAGAGCAAACTCTACTCATTTTTGGTAGTTTCCATTATAATCCATGACTTGATAACTGATGTGTATAGCTAATTGAATTGAACAAAATGAACAATCACGCACATAACTCCTTTTTGGTATTCAAAATTGATTACTGTATACGCTTTTCAGCTTCTTCCCCGATATAGCGGAGCCCAAACCCAAGTAAACTTGTTAGCCCATGTGTGCCTGAGTTGAAAACCCCAGCACATTAACTTGTTGAAACCCTGCTGTGGTTGTCATGGATGGAATTAAATAGATTCTTGATGTTTGATAGTATACAGCTGGCCTTCAGGTATGCAGTGAGAACCACCTATGTATATGTGTTCAATTTTTGTCCCCTTCCCCATAAGTGGCTATACGCGATTCATGGTCCTGGAGCTGTCCCCAGAGTGACACTGGTCCAACTCTAGTCGAGGTCGTCTACGACACCTTTGTCCCAGACCCTGATAATGAGGTCACTCGATTATAACACCGAGTAAGTAATTGGATGGCTGGCTTTTGCTTTAAACACCTACTTAAACTATCACCGCCCTATAAACAGATAAATGTCCAATACATGGTGATAGAATTAAAGAAATTGTAACCAACCCGCGCGCCTGTATCACTGTATTGTTGAATAACCGCACAACTGCTCCAGCCTGTTGTGACACTTTATACTTGTGAAGGTTTTCAGGGCCCATCAGTGAGGGAAGAGACGTGAAGGGTAAACTGCGGCACCTCCCTCGAGAGAGGTGGCAAGGAGACCCGTATTAGAGCTTCATTAGCGCTGAGCACCAATTCTGATTGGACACGGCTGGAAAACAGACCTCTGTGCCCTCAGGTGACTACTATAGCTTTTCCCAACATTATTTCACACGCTGAAGATTGTCTGGCCAGTTTGCAGTCCTTTGCTAACTTGTGACTCTAAACATGCCCCAAACCAAACTACGAGGGAGTTTGCGTAAAACAAGGTCTGTAACAAAATCCAGTCACATCTTCAATTCGTCCTACCACAATTTCCCTGCAAAAAACCCCTTCCAACGTTTTTGTGTCAATTCTGAAATCATCCTGGTGTGCTGTTGAAAACTGTTTTACATCATTCATTTGTTTTCCCTCTCCTGTGTTTTTTTTTTAAAGTTAGCGTTTTAAAAGCTTCTGTCTGTTAGTCCCATGTGGTCATCCCTGCAATATTTTGCTTTTTAAATGTGGTTGATTTACTGAAGAAAGTTTTTTAGTTTTTTTAATTTTGTTTATAATATGGATTATTATTATTATTATTTTATATTATTATTATTATTTATTATTGTATTATTATTATTAACCTGAATTTAGAGGGTGTTAATGAACTATAAACGCCTCACATAAAAGTAGAAGCTCTGAATTAACTTGACGATCATATTTACAAACTGCTATAAAAACTGGCTCATAATGTAGAAGGTTGAATGTCAAGTACCAGCTTTTGGAAAGGGGTTTGGAAAGCTTTTTAAAGCAACATAAAACTAACTGCTGAAAATGGCAATACTGTGTAATATGTCTCATAAATGATTACATATATCAGACAAATAATTGCACTGATCAAGAGAGGAGTGTGGCCACATGTTGGACAGGTATGTTGTGTACATGATTGATTGATTAACAAAGGCTAGCTGGCATTCAACAATATATGTTACTAAAATATACCATTTTAGTGGCGGTGTTTGCAGTACTGATTTAGATTCTTCAAAATATGAAGTACCTTTTCATTAGCAATTTGTCTACACTGTTAGACACCCGGTTTATTTGAGTTACCGTCTTGAAAATGAATCAAAGGTGGGCCGAGAACAGTACACTTACTGGTTACTTGGTTATTTTATTTTATTTTTTAGCCTGTGCCTTTTTTTTTTTATTTAAAAAAAAAAAAAAATTATTACTGAACAACTTTAACTTTATCAAAGAGGCTACTCAGTAATACGAGCTCTAGATATCTTCCTCTTTACTGTAGTTGCTCCACGGGACGGTGGTGGACACATCAGTGGTCTTCCCCCACCGTCTGGGCCCCCCTCACAAGCTGACCCTCAACAACCTCACTGCTGAATACCTCAGGAGGATCATCCAAGAGAGTGGTGGGTCATCATGGATAACTACAGCCACCACACCTGTTTCCTTTGCATGTCCATTAAGTTTAAACTCCACAATACCTCTGAAACAAAATCTGAATTCAAATAAAGAAATGGATCATAATCAAAATTTGAGTGTAAAGACCAGCAAAACGTATGTATTCATAGTTGATGCATGTTTTGGTAGTGAGTACATTTGTTTAAATATACTGTATCAATGTTTCTCTCAGTTTGTGGCCATGACACTGCAGAAGACGCCGCTGCCTGCATGGAGCTTATGTTATGGAAGGTCAAAGAAGATGGAAAACTGAAAAAATGATGGCAATAAAACAATTATACATGTGCACACAGACACACAACAAATGTATGCTGTTGTTCAAATTTGAATGTCATCCATTTGTGTAAAACTCTTTTGGCTCTTTTTCTGATGACATGGGAGGGCTGTTTATTTTTTAGTTTAATTACATTATTTGATTTATGTTTATGTTCAATTTTAATTTGCAGCCCATGTGTCCATGTCTGTAAATATTAACTGCACTGTTGTGTGCTAAGAAAACCTGAAGGGGTGGGGTGTCATGTATTAAAGTAAAGGCACAGAATGAAATTCTTTGTGTGTGTATTTTTTTTTTACCCCCCCAGACGTACGTCAGCCAATAAGCATTTAGCTTTAATTGTCAAAATGGCCTCAGGTGCAGTTACACAAATAAGTGCACACCTGTCAACAATTGAAGGAATTACCCGTGATAAATGGAAGCGCAAACAAGACAAATGTACATATATATTTTTTTGGAAGCAAATACACCATTTGTTTCTGTAGAGGTTAACAACGTTTTAATGTTTTTGCTTCAGTTTTTCAGTGTTGGCTGACTTACTTCCAGAAGAATACTGGACTCTGCCCTAATTAGTTGTTTCAAAGTAGTGACAATTACTTGTCTCAAGCCACAACTTCGAATCCAAGGCATTATGGTTACACTAGCTGCTTTAGACTAACAGGACAACTCATGAATCCATTTGTGTTTTCACCAATCTTTAGTTCTAAAGTTAAAGTTCTTTATCAACTACATTTTAACTCACTCATTCAGTCTTCGCTTTCCTATTTCTGCTACAGCACCTCCGGAAGCAGAAACTGCAGGTCTTGATGAATAGGAATAAGAGGAACAGAGCTATGGTGAGGACAAAGACCAGCACATCCAGGCTGTGATACTGGTACCAGGTGAGCTCATGGGCCTGGACCCTCAGGTGCTCTGTCCCTTTGTTTCTCATGGTGAACTCGATCCAGAATACCGCCTCATCCCGAGGACTCATTGGTCTGTCGTGGTGGATACTGGACAGTCGCATGGCATTCTCCTTGTACCTATGGAAGTGGATTAATGGGTTACGTATTTTTAAACTTAAACAAGCCACTAGGAGCAAAAGGCCATTCAGTGGTTTTGTAATCTATTTGTGACCTTCAAACTCTGTCACACTGCATTAGATAATGGCTTCTTTATGGTATGTTGTTGACCTTGCTTACCTAAGGCAAAATGGCAAGAAAATATCTTTTTAATATTCTAAAACGGACAATGAGCAGATTGGTAAGAGATCTTACGATTTCTCGTTGATGACAGCATTGATTGCATCTCTAAGGTCCTCAGTCTTCATGAAGTTCAAGTCCATGATAACTGCAGCTCCTTTGGCCTTAACATGAACCATGTTGTCCGGCTGGTCAGCAAACATGGGGATACCCACCATGGGAACACCGTGGTAGATGGCCTCATAAATGCCATTTGTGCCGCCATGGGTAACAAAAGCTCTGGTCTTGGGGTGACCTGATAGAATAGGGTTAAAAAAGATCATGAAACACACATTACTCTCTCCCATCAAGACAAGCTGTTAAAGCACATATTTTCACTTCTGTATGATGACTATATACTGAACATTGGCAAATGCTGAGATGAAAGCTGGCTAGATCAGAATGATCCCAGAGATTTTGGAAATGCAGAAAGTGTCCTCAAGGATTAAAGTGCCCTTTTAGTGCACCTTTTAGCCGCTTTGTTATTGTTGATCCAAATTGGGCATAAGCAATTGGGCAAATCACAATTACATACTACATGTAAGCATGTTTTAGTATTGAAAAGTGTCAAAGTACACAAGTTTATTAAACAACCCTTGATTGAGTGTACTTTTGATGGACACTTGTCCCAGAAAAAAAAAATAAAAATAAAATTTTTGAAAGAAATGAAAAAAAATGGTTTAGGATGGTGAAACGGCTCAAGAAACGGCTTCAGGAACACATCGAGAAACAATAAAAAACAAGTATTGTATAATATATGGTATAAAATAGTTAAGTACATTTATTTATTTATATTAACTGTGAAAGCAGTGTACTATTAAGACTGTTAAGCAATATATATGATGAATATGTAGTATGGAATTGGGACACAGCTGTAGTATGTGAATCTGCCTGCATAGTTAACCTTCACTGGATGAAAAGTTCTGTACTGTAAGTACCATTTTGCTGCACTTAACTATTTCCATTCTGTGCTACTTTACACTTTATTGCAATACATTTCAGTGGACAATATTGTACTTTTTACTTAACTACAGTTATTTGATAACTTAAATTAATAGATCCTTTACACAATCAAACTGATAATACAAAATACACTGAACAAAATTATAAACGCAACACTTTTGTTTTTGCCCCCATTCATCATGAGCCGAACTCAAAGATCTAAGACTTTCTCTATGTACACAAAAGACCTATTTCTCTCAAATATTGTTCA